CTAGTTGAATCGCTAGTAAAAGGGCTCGGCTGTTATCTGAAAGACTAATTAAGCTAGTTGGCTGCGACATATACACGCATAATTTATGTAAATGCTGGAGTTTTTGCAAGTCGTAAAAAAATTAACACCCAAGCTGTAAATTACTAACGTGCGAGCTGTTGTACTAGCAGCATTATAACTACGCTAAGTATATGGTAGAGCGACGCTGCAGCTATATTATGGTTGTAGCAAGTACGGGTCAGCTCTACCAGAGCAGGACTACCCTCTCACAGGATACCAGCGGAAAATAGCAGCCTAATGCTGCTATATTCTGTATGATGAGTGCAGAGAACCAGAGACGCTTTTTACTGGAAACTAAGCATTCCATCTTCAGGAGAGATTATGTCATACATTTTGATTCTTAATCGAAGATCAATGTAGATGTTTATGGGCCACGGCATCCACTTACTATCAGGTGGAGTGTGAGCTTGTTTCTCACTTCCATTCTATTAAAATAATCTTTCAATTTATCACCATTTTGAATCCTTTTCTTCTTCATCACTAGGCATTAAAAGTACACTACTGAAAATGGGTCTGTGCTGTTGTAGGATGGATTTGTTTCCGTGGTCAGGCTTGGCAGATGGATTAGCTTTTCTCTTCTTCTCGTACTTTTGATGCTGTACGGCGTTGCATTTATATTTTTAGACGTATATATTTATAGTTATTTATATGTACTATTTGTATATGTATGTTGATATGAATATATGTATGCTTATGTATGTACGTATATATTTTTATACATGTATAAATAGGATATATTTTTATAGTTTATTTATTGTATATATTAGTAAAATGTATATATAACGTTATTTATTATCATATCTATTTTGTTTTTATTCTATATTGCTACACCTACTTCAAATTCTCACCACTCCATGGGTTGACTGGTAGAGAATGCCACAAGGCATTAAGTCCGCCCTTTGAATTCTTTTAGATTAAGGAATGCAATAAAGAATAAATAAATAACAGTTTAAAATCAACAATATAATTATACCGCCATCTATGGTAAGCTATAAGATCTTCGTGACATATCCCATTGTCGTGAATTAAGACCATAAAGTTTGCACATGTATTATAGTAGTCTACGATTACGACACTTTATTTGTTACAAACATAAAGCAAGTTGAAGTAAAATTTACGGATCTTTACGCTTATGATTCTTAATCTATCAAAATTGATATAATTCATTAAATCACTCCTTATTCATTCATGAATCAATTTTATAAAAATAAAACGATCGTGAATGAGAGCGTGGTTTTTCCTCGGTCAACCTGAACCCAACTTCGCCTGTGTGGTATTTATTAATGTCATTTAAGACATTCATTTAGATTTAAAATAATCATCAACGACCATATTTATATTTAAAATGTTTGATTTCACAAAAATAATCTTCATTTTCGTATAAAATTTTACCTAGATCACTCCTGGCATTGATCTATACAGCAATAGATTCAGCTATTTCAAATATTAGCCTGGACTGACAGACAGACAGACAGACAAATAGACGGACAGAGAGACAGACAAATTTAAAAAAGGGTGTTCATGACTTAAGCTTAAGCTCGATAAAAACAGCTATTTTAGTTACTCGCTATTACAGACAGATACCTCAATTTTATTTATATTTATAGATGTAACAAACCGTGTATAAAAGTGTTGATTATTACTTTAGGAACTTGGTCTACTACAATTATGTTACCTATATGTAATGAACGTTGTGTTTCTTAGTTAAATTTGTTTGTCAAGACAATAAGCATTGTTAGACCTATTGACATCTACGCAATATCCTGTCCCTACAAGCAGGAAAAGCGGCGAAAATCCACAGAGAAAATGTATGTCTAAATCTAGAAAGTGTGATTTTACTTGGCAGTCTGACTAAATAAGGGCCGGCAGTGTTTTGTAATCAATAGTGAACTCACAATCTTACGTATTTTACAATGATTGCTTATAAAGTAAATTATTATCAAGTTTGCTGTAGGAATTATTGATCTATAGGGTCCACGTGTGTTGATAAGTAGGCAGTCTTTTCTTGTCTAAAAGCTAGTACAGTAGTGGAATCCTACTTCTAGGACAGCGGTTTAAAAACTTAGTCAAACTGATTAAAAACATACACAATTATATTTTCAAAATTGTGTAGGAGAGGCCAGTCCCTAACAGTTGATTGGGTACAGACTAACCTAAATAACGAAAGTATAAAATTTTGTTATCCTGCTTATCAAATTTTGTTAATACGCTGTAAGATTGGCCAATATTAAGAGGAGACACCATATCATACCTTTACATACATAGGTTGCCTCATAAGAAAGATATTTGCTATAGTTACCGCGTTTGGCAGGCGGGTTGCCAACCGGAGTTGTTTTTTTATTTTTACGTCGTTATTAAGAAGACGTTGCTGCGAAATCTCCATCTTTGTTTCCGTCTGTCGTCTATCAAGAACGAGAGGTATGAATATACAATAGTTTTTTTTTATAGGAGAGGGGGAAAACGAGCATGCGGCTCACCTGATGGTAAGTGACTACCGCCGCCCATGAACAACTGCAACACCAGGGAAATCAGATGCGTTGCCGGCCTTTTAAAAAGGATTTGGCTCTTATTTTGATGGTCCCTAAGTCGTATCGGTCCGGAAAAATCACTGGTGGTAATCGATTCCACAAGGAAGTTGTGCGAGGAAGAGAACATCTTCTAAATCGCACAGTGGTGGACCGCCACACATCCAGATGGTATGGATGGTATTGCGAGTTTCGTCGCGCTGTGCGATGGTGAAATTGAGCGATTGGTATTAGCCCGAACAATTTCTCAGAGCATTCCCCGTGATAGACGCGATAAAATACGCATAGAGATGCAACATCTCTACGCAGTGCCAGTGAGTCAAGCCGATCGGAAAGAACTCGGTCGTCGACGATTCGAACCGCTCTGCGCTGGATGCGGTCAAGTGGAAGGAGCTGGCACTGGGAAGCCCATGCCCAGAGATGGGAACAGTACTCCATGTGGGGCCGAACGTGCGCATTGTCAAGTTGCAAGCGGTGTGCCGGCATGAAATACTGTCCCGCACTGCTGATCACGCCAAGCTTTTTAGAGGCCAGTTATTTTTTGTGTTTTATTCAAAAGTTATTTGTCATCTATGTACGACCTACTTTAAAAAAAAAATTGTCTTTGGTTCTCAAAGACAAATTCTTAGTATCGTTTCTGTCTTGTAATACATTAATCATTGGAGGCGCCGCATTTTCCAAGGCTACGCTAGTATTGCTTCTCAGACGGTTAGTCAACAAAAATAATATATGATGAAAAGCATTCCATAGTAGTAATAATAATTATTTACGGCTACGTACTTAAACTTTTGATTGTATTCTTAAACTTTATCATGAACAGCAAGTACTAATTCACTTATAACTTATGACGTTATTAGTTTTTGTTTTAAAAAAAAAAACAATCTTCGCAATTAATGAAGTAATAATTCAAATTTGTTTTTGTTTGTTTATGTTGTTATCTCGCTCTTTTATGTATTATCATACGTGAACGAACGACACGGAAGAAGATGGCAGCATAGAGGACGACAATACGTCTACGGTATTGCTTTCTTTGCCTTGTAAGTAGGTTACTTCGGTTATGTCAGGTGCGGCATAGCTAGAGCTGTTAAATGTGATAGAAAATATTTAAGTGTGACAATTTATCAGCATAAATAATGAAGCAAAATATTACCAATATTTAACATAAATAATGATTTTAAAATTAATATGTTACATATAATAACAAGAACACAATCTGTATAGGTCGTTCAAGACTGAGAAAATTAAGGAAACATACAATTAGAAATAACGTCAGATATAAAGTAATCTATAAATGTAATAAAGGATATCAAAGTTATAACTTAAAAACAGATCAGATTCCACCCACCCGCCCAGGCGATATTTGGGATTATTGATTCCCGACCTGAGTTTCGCCCAATCGGTCGACCCAAATTAGCTCTCTTTATACTCCAGTTCTCTGCCATCCGTTTTATATGACAGAGCAACATTTTAATAGTGGTAGAGCCACGCGGCAGCTTTTGCTGTTGCACGTATAGGCCGACTCGAACCGGGGTGGTACCACGACCTCACAGAAAACCAGCGTGAAGTAGAGGCTTACCTCTGCGTTTCGCTTGGTGAGTGTAGGTGGCCGGAGGCCCTTTTTACTGGAAATGATGGCATTCCATCTTAGTCCTCACGGGTGACAACGCATCTACATTTTGATTTGTAATAGAGGATAGATGTAGATGTCTATGGGCCGCAGCAACCACTTACAATCAGGTGGACTGTGTGCTCGTTTGTCACCCTTATCCTACAAAAAAAAAAAACCGAAAGAGTAATTTTAAATTTTATATAACTTGATTATGATTTCTTATATTTACGCGAACACTACACATTGAATAAAACTATTTTTACGGTTTCTTATATTTACGCGAACACTACACATTGAATAAAACTATTTTTACGGATTCTATCTCATTCCTACGTGTGTCAAGATATCTACTAAAAAAGACATTCGAGGAAGCGCTAAGATCTTAAATCAGGCAAGCAAAAAATTGTTAATAAAACGCGATAGAATCCGTAAAAATAGTTTTATTCAATAACTTGATTAATTTTAATTATATTCGAAATCTCGGTAAGGCAGTTACTAGGCGTTTGGATGCGTCGGTGTGATCCGAGGTTTCGATTCCTGCACAAAATATTTGTATGGCCTACAAATCATGTTTCTGGGTGTCCATGTGCAATTTATGAATGTGAACACCGCATATAACTTCCAAAAATAAGGAGGTAACCTTAAAAAAATAAAAAATACAAATCTTTTTCAGGTATTATACAGTTAATTTTGTTCAAATAAAATAATTATTTTTCGTAACAGCTCTATAGATATCCTCTCATTTGATTATGCGGAGTGTGTTGGCGCGATTAGCACACTTGCGTCCATCGGCCCAGCTGGCTGCCAGTACTCGATCGCAACACACGGTGAGTGCCTGCGCACACTCCGCACGGCACTACACGCGAATGCAGCGATGCACGTGCGTAAATTCGCCGTCGATAAATTCGATCTAGTGAGATCCGTTTTAGATGTTTACAATCGATAAATCAAATCTGTTGTAGAAATTCGCGTGTGATTGTGTGTGTGGACTTTGCGACGGTAGGTTGGTTTTTGTTATTTCGTCGTTTTATAAAGTTGTATCACTTTTATTCTAAAATCCTAAAGTAAAAACCTTATACAAAATAGTCACGTTAACTTAAATATTACGTCCAAATTTATCTTTACTATAAAAGTTTTGTTTTTAGTTTTTTCTGAAGCGATTTTATTTTGATCGTGTGGATAACGTAACCTTCTAATTTCAAGACATTAGGTGTCAAATGCCGTCGACTAAATCTGTGAGTTACAATTTAACTAACAATTCACCTTTTAGTAAATGATTACTGCAGCCCATGGATACCTGCATATAATTATAAATAGCGAAATCCGTCCAACACATGCGTGGTTCCTCGTGAAGACTAAGATTGAATTGAACAACGATCAATACTTTACAGCATGTATCTATCTATATTCCCTTACCTTTTAAATCGCCACACAGCAGTAACTGCACTGCTGTCTGGTGTTAAAAATAGGTTGGAAGTTAGTTAGGCAACCAAAAACTTACCTAAAAATTTAAAAGGTTTTTGACTCATAAATAAATTAACATTCAACGTATGTCCAATACTGCATTTTAATAAAATATACTTCTTGAAATATGGATATCACTTCCCTCTAAAAAGAAACCAAATCATTTGCTTTATTAAAAATACTGATAGAGCTGTATTATTTCTTTTTTAGATTAAAATTTGTGTAAGACAATATTATATTAGATATTTGCTTAATCCAAAATTAATGTCATGTCATCAGTCTTTAATTAGTTGTTAAAGCCTCATAGATCTGATTTCTAAATTGCAAGACTTTACTCACTAATACAACAATAGTGCAAATTTTTGTTATTTTATTTATTTTGAGTTTTGTTCTGAAAATATTATTTTTCATTAATTAGGGACTAAAGGAAATCTTTACTAGCAAAATATTTAAAAAAATCATACATGTTCTCAGACTATTTCTTTGAATTAACCAAACAATAATTTCAAAACAAAAAACTTAATCCAGCATGTCCGGCTATATGACTTCTGTATCTCATAATTAGCGTCGATGACCTCGATGAAAAATCACACGGTAATTAAGCAGCGTATCAACGCGTCCGCAATGTTCAAATTATATATTTGATGTAAACAGTTCGTAAGATCAAACTTTTGAGATATGTAATCTTTCTAAATATGAATATTACAAAATATTTCTGGCATTTTTTTAAAGTAAATTCACGGAACGAGACAGGGATGATTGGACGGGGTAAAACTTAATGGACAACACAAAAAATGAATGAATAAATTGAAACTTTACCTTAACTACAAGATATGTATTCGATTACTAATGAAACAATATTTATTCTTATTTATGCAACAGTTATTGATAAAGAAAATAAAATACGCTAGTTTTTTTATAGACTAAGGGTGACAAATGAACACAGACCACCTGATGGTAAGTGGATATTGTTGTCTATAGACACCTACATCTATCCTTGCTTGATTTTGATTCCTAAAATGCAGATGCTGTATTTCCATGCAAATACAGATGGGTATCACCTCTGAGGACTAAGGTGAAATGCCTCGTTTCCAGTAAAAGGGGTCTTCATTTCTCTACACTCACACTATGAAACGTATTATTAAGCTGATATTTCACGCTGATATTCTGTCAGAGCGTGGTCCATCCACTGTCAAGTCGAAACATTCGTCCTGTTACCATAATATAGCTGCAGTACAGATATACTAGTCGTTGTGACAAAAATACAAACAGCGGAATTTTGGAAATATTTGGTGGTCGCGTAAGAGACTCCAAGAGACTTCCACGAGTTTAGAGAGTGACGTAAGGGCCGACTGTGGGCAATCCCAGAAAGATATAATGGCTGATGATGAAGAAGACTAACTCATAATTCCAAGTTGAATATCGAAGTTAATATTAGCTGACATTTAGTATTACACACATAAAATAAATTATTGTGTTTTTATCTACTGATAGCGTTGAAGTCTTTTGTATGGAGTAATGAACCTAACAGGTGTCATGGATAAAAGTGCGAAAATAATAATATTTTTTTATTTTATTTCTTATTTTTGTTCACATGTAATTAATTTAAAATAGTAATTAAATATATTTAAGGATATTTTTTTATATTTAAGCTAATACTACACATGGAATAAAACTAATTTTACGGCTTGTATCGTATAAATTTTAACATTTTTAATTCCCCGACGTTTCGATAGCACCTTGACGTCTTCTTTATTGAAATTAGGAATTTTTTTTTATTTCAGTAGCCTCGCCAGTCATGTGTTTTATAGATCTTTTGTTTGTCCTATTTAAAAAAAAAACAATAAAACAAACTTAATAGAACATATTGCTGACGTGAAACACTGGGGCTTTGGAAAGTTATCAGATATTGAATTGGAAAATAGAAATCGATATTAGGATCGGCCCAAACATCTTCACATTTGAATTACTAAAAATTCTTGCAAAAAGGAACACCGACGATCCGAACAAGGATGACACCCATGACCTTCGGTTCAATAAAGCGCCCCAAATGTCTAGTGTCAAAAAATCATAATTAAATGCGGTGAAATTATAATACCAATATTGATAGATGGGTAAGCCAAGCGTGTCAACTAAGGCAAAAGTGGCAGAGGCAAGCTTACGGCAGAGAGTGGACTGCTGTAAGCTTGCCTCTGTATAGGCTGTAATGGATGGATATATATTGAAAATTTACATAATTGTATACTGAATCCTAAAAAACCCATTGGATTACTTGCTGATTTTTCTAGCACAGAGGTATTTTCAAAACTAGTGGTTAATTGCATTGAAGAATGACTTTCACTACATTTATAATCTTTATTAAATCAATAAATCTATTTTCCTAAACAAAATATCCTGGAGTGGGGTAATATTTTTCTAATATTCTATCAAAAGTCCACTGCTGAATATAGGCCTCATTTGCCTTATAGGAAGGATATTTGCAATATTTGCCACGCTTGGCAGGCCGCTTGGCAACAGCTGTAAAAAAAGAACAGAAAAACATATAATTTACACAGTACTTGTTTATGCAAAATACAGTCTGAAGAAATGTCCCGACCCCACGTCGTTTATTGAGGCTAAGTAACAACACACGATCTCTACCTTTCCTATTTCGTTTAAATATACTTTGTTTTGAACAAATTGACCTCTAACCTTGTGATATTTCCCTATAACCTGTTGCTTCGGTTGTACAGTACGATGGTAAAAAGTACATATTCATCAACCACACTGTATTATGGTTGTAGCACGAATGGGTCGGCTTGACTGGGGAAGGACCACGCTCTTACAGAAATGAAATGGAAACTTAATGCTGCTGTGTTTCGTATGGTGAGTGTAGAAAATCGGAGACCCTTTTTACTTGAAACGAGGCATTCCATCTTATTTCTCAAGGTTGACAATATTTGTTGTACTAACAATATTATAACTACGCTAACTGTTCGTGGTAAAGCCACGCTGCTGCTATATTATGGTTGTAGCACATATGGGTCGGCTCGACCGGGATAGGACCACGCTATCATACCTTCGTAAATTTAAAATAGAAAATACAACTGACATGAAATTATCTCAATAAATTTTTCTGACTCCTATAAACGAGAATATTATCAAAAAATCAGTTAATTACCAAACTAGAGGCTAACGGAATAAGAAGACCTGCTTTAAGTTGGCTAGAAAGCTATTTAAAAAATAGGTCACAGTGTGTAGAAATAACAAAATTAAATTCTATCAACATGGCTCAGGTGTATAGATCGGAATTAAAAAATAACAATTTCGGTGTTCCCCAAGGTAGTATTTTCGGACCATTGTCGTTTATATTATACATTCATGACCTGACATATCCAACTACTAAAGTAATTTATTTGCAGATGACATCTCGGTGACGCTTACGACTAGTAAAAAAGTACACTTGATCAACACAAAAGGGACATAGTTAAAACAATTAATTCAGTAAATAAATATTTTAATAAAAATAATCTACCCATTAATTTAAGTAAAACAAATATCATTAATTTTAATAACTTAAATTCCGACATAAATGGTGTATATAATGGACAACTTCTGCGGAACGCTATTAGTAAGACATTCCTATGTTTATAATTATAGACTCAAATCTAAATTGGAAAGAACATATGCATAAAGTACTCACTTTAAATAAAATTAACAGACTTGTATAAGCGTTACATAAATTGATAAAAATAGCAAACAAAGACTCTGTGATCACAGCGTATTTCGCATGTGTAGAATCTGTTATCAGATACGGTCTTTTAATGTGGGGTAATGGCACAGACTGTCAAAAAGTATTTTTAGCTCAAAAGCGCTGTATTAGAGCTATAAGTAACATCCCATCGGACACATCATGCAAGCCTTATTTTAAGAGCTTAAACATACTTCTTTTTCCCTGCCTCCATATATTTAAGGTTGGCGAATTTGTAATGCAAAACAAGCACATGTTTTTACAAGCTAAAGATGTTACAAAAATTAACTTACGGAACCCAGATAAACTAGTACTGGGCACAAGCGTTTTCAAAAAAATAGCTATGCAATGTGTGGCACTATTTATAACAAAATACCCTCACATATTAAGCAATTACCATACAACAACTTTAAAATTTCATTACGACGATGGCTGGTAGAAAAAACATTTTATACAATAAAGGAGTTTTTAAATTGTAGTAATTAAGTACCTGTTGTCGATGCATGAATAATTTATTTATATTAATTAATTTATTTATAAAAATTGTAAAAGGATGTTTTTAGTTATGTGTATAGATTAAGTTTAGAAACTAATTATATTATAAAAACTTTTGGACATTTGCGTGCTGTTGAAAACAGCTAAATAGGTTTTTTCAAAACATTGTTATAACACCAAGAACAAAATATTTTTGTTCTTATTTACTAGCAAATAAAAATTTTGAATTTGAATTTATAATAGCAGCTTAATGCTGCTGTGTTTCGTATGGTGAGTGTACAGAACCGGTGAACTTTTATTTGAAACGAAG